CTTTTTGTTTTTATGAATATCTCAAAAACAAAAAATCTGAAGAAACCCACTTTTTCCTAGAACAGCCCCCATATGATTTCTTGTAGCTCAGAAATTACATGTATAACTGTTTCATTTTAGGGAAGAAGTCTGGGATAATCCAACTTTTGGGAAGAAATTTGCCAGTTCGCAAAGCGAGGGGACGTATGTAACTGACATCATAGTCCCTGTTATTCGAACCACATTGAAAGGCCTTCCAGTCGGAAAATCTGCTTTTGTCAGCACGTGAGTATGATTATTTCTCGATTTTTAAGGGAAACATATTCTTATTTGCATGTTTTATGTCCACACCAGTGCAGAGCGACAAAGCATAGCCAGTAAAGATCGGAGAGGAAAGAGAGGGAAACGACCAGATGTGATGTTTTTGGTTAAACATAAAAGAAAATTATATGAACTAATGTATTCCGAATGCTCACGTCTGGTCTGTGATGATGATAAAGAATTAAGTGATTGGGTGAAGCTGTGGCGAGAATTGAACGATGGAATGTATTGGACTCGTAAGGGTTGCAAAATAGATGATGATTATTTCGGTATTGTTGGGATTCAAATTGCTGGAAAGATGCTCCATCTATTTATTCTTATTCGAGGTGGAGATGAATTACATCGTTTATACCGTTTACGCTCTGTGGAAATCCCAATACAACACACCACAGATACCGAAAAGCTGATTGAGTTCGTGGAAACATTGTTATTATTACGGGTATATTCACTAAAAAATATATGATGTTCCGTTTTATGACCTATCTAAGTTTACTAAGTTTACTTGTATCATATAGAATATTATGGTCGTCAACCTATCCCTATTATTCAACTCCAAGAAGACCGCAAGTGGAAATAGTGAAAATAGTTCAACGGTATCTTCCCCATAGGTTTGATTTTATATTTATTTCTTATATTTCTTTGAATTTTATCGTTAATCAACTAATTATAAAAAATACGAGTCACATAACTCTATACTCCATATATTAAAAAAAAATAAACCAAATTATTTGCAATGCATATTACCCTCGCCAGTTCTGCTATGTATAATCCGAATCGAGATTATTTACCTCTAAATATCTGCATAGTTCTACATAATCAAAAATCGCTTCCGTATCTTGCGTATTCTTATTTATTATAGTTATGTGATCTTCATCTTTTCTTTGCATGTACTTATCCTGGTTTAAAAATTGAAAATACTGCTTAGGATTATCGGTGAATATTCCTAGAGTTTTACGTCTGTTAGATTTACGAGACATATTAACATATCTATATAAATAAATGACTTCAATTTTTTCTCGACATATATTAATTCACTTTTATAGTTTTATGTGCCATTAAGCCCGTTGCATATTTAGTTTTACTAAAGGTTTCGCTAAAAGTAATTGTAATTCATAGTTAAAATCAGTCAACATGACCCGCTTTATTATTGATATATAAAAAATGTTACCAAAATAATAACATAAAAATAAAATAAAAAATCTTATCGCAGTTATATACTGCAGACGTAAAAATACATATCGTATTTACATGATGCAAATCATTTCTTTTTTATAAAGCCGGCCAATGATAATGGTATAATCTCAATACTTTGCTCTTTCTGTTGTTTTAACTTAAAAATTCTCCTACCATCGACAGATAACTCGTAGCTATTTATCCAAGTTATGAGATAACTTTTTCTATTCTCAACGAGTACAGTTGTAATTTCATTTTTAGTCGCTACATTCATAAAAACTACATTTTCCAAATCGTCAATTGGAATATCATTTTTATCTACAAGAAAAACCCTCGCGACATCTTCATTTAACACTTCAATCTTTACTCGGATCTTCTCATGATAAGTATCAAAGTCTTTTGTTTCTCCTTTCCTATATAAAATTTTTTTTTCAGACATCGTGACTGCTAAGAAAAACAAAACTATTAATTAATACATGAAGTTGTAACTATATTTCTGACTCAAAAATTTATTCATAATGCGTACCTTAAAAAAAATGATGATTAGTTTTGTTCGAATTCTTTGTAGCTTCTTTTCTGTAATTTAAATGGAGATGGTGATCTTGGTGGAGATGCAATAGTCGATGTTGTGGAAGTTTGTGACAAGTCTGATGTAATCGACATTGTTTTGACCGAATAATCAGAAGTATCCATTACTTTACATACTGTACATATTATTGCGCTTCTGAAAGTCAATAGTACGTGGATAATAGGATAGACATTCTCCAGTTCTGTGTGTGGGGTGGATAAGGGGATGGTTGCTCGTTCAAGCAGGGAATTTTTATATATTGATGATTCTTTATTCATGCAGCGTAATTCTAGCACCCTCCCAACGATATTAATTGTAAATATTGTCAACATTTCTTTCATCATCAATTTTCTGAACAATCTTTCATATTTAGGATTTCTCGTGAGATCAATAGAGTCCTTTGAAGTCTATTGAGTTTTTTATGATCTCGTTTTTGCTTATCATCGGAAGAATCTGGTCGACCGGTTTCAAGATATGCAAACTCCATAGACTTATTTTTAATTTGTACGACAACTCTGTAGTCGGGTCTTTTTGCAAGCTTATTCGAACCCTTGCGTTCTGCGCTGGCTAAACTTGCCTCATCCCCCCTTTTTAAATATGTTAGTGATTATACAAGACTTAATAAAAAATTATAAATTATACATACCAAGCACCCCATATAGTGTAATCTATAGGTAAATCACTCATTACAATATTCAGCAATGGTGATATAACCTCACATATGCACAAACCCTTGCTTATGTTGGGCTCTTTTGACAAGACATATAACTTCCACTTTGAGGACCCCCAGATTCAACTAAATGCTTCTAGCATCTGGTTTGTCAATTTATGTAATGTTTCGGGACATCTAAAAACTTACCAAAAGTTACTCCTTCAACCAATTTAGGGACTTTCTCAAAGTACTTCTTCTTTTCGCTTTGGACAAATTCTTCACAAATAGCTTTTAACTTAATATCTGTTGGTATTATAAACTTTCTACTTAAAGACCTAAAAATATTGCGCAACTCTTCTGACATATCCTTAAAAGGTTCAGAACTATCATCCAATATTCCTGAGCATAGTGGATGAGCGTGTCCCAAGTCTTTCACATTTACTTTACGCAATCCTTCCTCTACAGTCCTCCACATGGTCTTTTCGTCCCCAGATGTTGCTAATACATACTAAACTCCACATATTAATAAGATGTTAGAAAAAAGAACAAGCTTTACCCTAAAATACGAACCTTATGTACTTCATTCTTCAATGTCTCGAAGTTTTTCAATGCTTCAATTAGCCAAGATTCCTTCACATTTTGACTCTTTTTTCTATTGAAGAGGCAAGTTTTCTTCACGTTCTACAATAGTAAAGAATAAGCATTTGCAACAATACAGGTTTTCTTTGGAAACATTGAGTAAAAAGCATACCAAAGCGTTGAGCTCCAGTGAAGATCGGATATGATCAAATGCTTCTGACACCTAAAATACAGAACATTAATCAGCTGAAATTCAAACCGATTCAGTAATGATAAATATGTGCGCGCGATCAGATTGATTTTCTTTTTTCAAAATAAATTTTTTCAAAGAATAGGCTAGCCAATGATTAATACATAGCCTCAACAAAATTCATACTCGGTGTTTAATGTATATAAACAGCTACTGCCACGTCCGCGAAGTATTTATACTAAGAAGACGTTGGTACATTCACAGTCTATATACCACTTTATATTTCATCCATTGAGGTAATCGGAAAGTGACGAAAATGAATGTCTACCCCATGATACATGCTTGTGATTTCGTCACCCCCAAAGAAAACCAATAATTCATCACATCAAATATATTTTAAACTATCAATAATTATAATGACTTACTCTTTGCTCCAAAGTCTTGTCATTTCTGAAACTATGAAGTTTCCCCCATCTTTCTTCTTCATCCGGAGAAACCAGTTTCAAGGCAGTCTCAAGCACTCCAGCAAAATTCTCAATTTCTTCTTCGCGGTCATCTGTCCATTCACCTGCTTCAACCCGCTTATATAATGCAGTGAAAATGGTTATTGCTGAGATTGGTTTGAATTTAACTAAGAAAGATTCCATTTTTTTAATTGAGAAATTTTAGAATTTAAAGTATATAAAAAAACACAATTTGTCAATGATTACAATCATAACTCGAAATACTGCCCTTTTTAAACATTTTCCTTCCATGTCTCACTCTAGATCTATCGAATGGATAATGCAGAGATATAAGAAGTCTTTACGCCAAGATAAAGAAAAAGAATGCATATGAATGCTAATTAATCGAATTTGGTTAATTGCACAAATAAACATGCATGTGTTATTTATTATATACTCAGCCCCATTAAAATGTTGCACGACATATCCAATTATTTGATCGATTAGATTATTAGTGTTTGTACTCATAATAGGTTACTCATGAGTAATCCAGATACTCATGAGTAACATGAGTACCGTGAGTACTGTGAGTACTCATAGATCATGCTATTAATAGAAAGATCTGCACTCATGAGTACTCAAGTGTTACAAAGCAATATTGACCTATCATATTTAGGCATTTTATTATGATCGTTATTATTACATATTATATATTATTATTATTATTATGTAGATATTTACAGCGCAAACACAAAAGTTCTTAGAAGACAACCAGAAATAAAATTTTTATACAAATTTGATTTCGAGAACCAAACTATCAAGAAATATAAATTCTAATTTAAACCATATACAAAAATAATAAAATTTATTTCTTTTTTTATTGTTTATTTTCTCGACTCAATTTTTACTATATTAGGTATTTGTCATACATGAGTACTCATGAGTAACATCCCTATAGATTATCAAATTTGAAAAATTCTAATTCATCAATATAATTTTAGAAACGATATGGAAAAGACATTCAACTATTTCATACCCGCATCTAAAGAAAAATAAAGTCAAATATATTTACGGACTTCCTTCTGGATTTTGCGAAGAAGATATGGTCGAGGAATTTATTGGAGGTAAGTACACAATTATATACTTGAAAAAGTGGATCAAGGTTATGGATTAAATGAGACTTGAATCTCATACATCAGACACATAAGTGGGAATTCCTTCGTTTATGGAAATGCGGTAATATCAAAAGAGGATGGGAATATGGACGATAATAGTGTCAAACATGTTTTCAAAGAAACTGACATCGGTATGGATATGATGCAAAGCGCCGAATCTTTGATTCCTGATAATTACATTTAATCGAGCAAAAAATACAGATATGTGAACTTATTATTATTTTAAAAATTAAGATGTATCTTTATTATTTTTTATATGAAATTGACTAAACTAATACAATATAAAATGATAGAGTAGCGAGTTTAAAGGGAGGAAGTACTCGAGCCCTAACCCATAAAATGAGAGTTCCTTCCCGCTACTCCATACTATCTATCCATGAACCAATTTGGTCCACGGTACTTGATTTACAACTACTACTTCTATTATAAAAGTTTTTGATCGTTGATTGCCTAATATCTCCTCCAAGTTCACGAATGCGCATGGCTACGGAATAACACATTTCGTCAAAAGTATATCTTCTCTGAGCCATATCCCTATCAAAGATCTGTTTAAAGCAAGTCCAGATAGTTAATGTAATTCCTGAAAATGATCACTGGCTTGATCCTATGATCAAAAAAGTCAAGTTAGCTAAAGTTAGTCGATTTTTTAAATTGTAATGGTAACTCCAGCTTCACTATCATACCTGAAGAACTAGCAGAGGAATTAGAACAAGAAGAATTAATAGAGGAATTGTGTGAATTGGAAGAAGCTTCAGATAGGTTCGTTTCACTTTGCTGATCTTGTTTGATTCTTTGGATGATTGCATGACGTTGATTAAATAGGGTTTGGAATGTTGTGATAGATTCATTAATTGAATCAAAGAGGATGAAATTCTACCAAAGTGGTTATTGTAGCATTCAAGAACTTGTTCAATTTCATCAAGTCTCGTGGTAAAAGAATTAATCAGCGACAAGATTCTCTGCGCCTCCGCAGTGAAGTTAGCATCACATGCATTAAGTTCAGTATTCAGTTTAGCAAGTCCTTCAGTGAGCTTAGAATCATATAAGATGTTTTCTTCGGTAAATTGTTGCCTGATGAAATTTAAGATATTAGCATCATGGGTGGTTAAATCCCCATTAAAATAATTCTTGATAGAACTAATAGAAAATCACATGAGAATGGTGATCAAGGACAATAAAGGTAATATTGATTTGAGACATCTATGAAAAAAAAAAAATTTAACATATGTGGGATTATACGATGTCAAAAAGAAAATATCAGTGTTTAATATTAGGTAAATAAATGGTTTTATTCTGGAATATCATACCTTTGATCAAAAATTAGAATATGTATAATATTTGTTAGATTTTATTTATTTTGAATATGTTTTAAAGTCTGTTTTTAAACTTTTGAATATTATAGCGAGGAAGTAAAGAGTGGCAAAAAATGGATTCAAGGCGTATTTATAATACTCACTAAGAAACATATCACGTTTTTTTTACCAATAGAACTGTCTTAAAGATATATCCGTGCGTAGCATTATAAAGTCCTCGAACCTGCTAGAAATTTTTATTCAGTAATAAGGTTTATTCAAACAACAATTAATGATGAATTATTCAGAGTTGTAATTATATTAATCGATCTAATAGGAATAAAGTTAGAATCCATTATAACAATTAACTTGCGTAATCTACACCCCCATTTTCATTCGGATATTTTTACACATGTCAAGATGATGAGACTGCACTAACTTTTTTTATTATTTGAATAATTAATACTCAGTATTGGAGGTTAAGAATATTATAATTATGCTTATTTTTTTCTATGGACGATCTCAGTAAATGTTTTTATA